TTCCAATCATCAATATAAAAATAATCCAAACACTTCCAATAATAATTAATAATATATGCCACCAAAATATACCAGTCTCTTTACAACTTAATGGATCATTTGGGTCAGTTGTAAACCCATCATTACACTCACAAAAATCATTACAATTAAGTCCCCCATCACATTCCTCAAATTCATTTTTTTGTTGATTGCCACAAGTTTTTAATTTACACATCTTATCTTGAGTAAGCTCATAACCATCTTCACATTCACAATTCAGCAAACAATGTTTATTATTTCTATTACAACTGCCTATACCTAAATTTAAACATTCTTTACTAATACAATAATGGTCTTGATAACTATATCCTTCTTTACACTTACAATGTTTATCACAGCCAGGAGTTCCTAAATAACAAGGATTTTCTTGAGTAGTATTAAATTTACCATCATAATAACACAACCTACTACAATCTTCAAAACCATATCCTTCATTACAAACACATTTAAACTCAGAAATAACACATTGACCATACCCATTATCTTGATTACATTTGTTAACACATGATGTTTGAATTCTTAGAGTTAATGGATCATTTTCAATTGACATAAAAAAATGTCTTAATTCTTCTTTTTCTGAATATACTTTGAATAAAACACCGAATGAAGAACCTTCAGTTGTAGTTAAACCACCTTTTTTACCAATATGAAGTTGTTTACAAGAAAAGGTATTAATATCAATTTCTTCAACATAATGAAAAGAACTAGATAACTTAGTATCAAGAATAAGAGTATGATATGGGACTGTTTTTACAGAGAAAAATATACCTTTTCTTATTATTGGAGAACATTTCATTTGATAAATAACAATATCTTTTTCACCAACAACCATTGTTTGTGGTTTACCAAATGAAGTATAATTATCAGTGTAATCAATAAAATCAATATAGTCATTTCCATCAATGACTAATGAACTATGAAATATATCTGAATCTATAGATGCCTTTGCATTGAATGAAATAGTATAATTGACCCCGTTTAATAATCCAATAAATAGAATAAATGTATTTGAATTTAAAAAAACTGAAAATGGTTCATCATTTGAAACAATTGATGAAGCTAAACAATTCATTTGTCCATTAACAATATTACTGACTTGCATTGAAATTTCCTTATTTACAATTTGTTGATTTGAATTAAGTATTTTAATATTATAAATATTCATTTGAGCACCTTCAGTAAGAGTAATTGAAGTCCACTTTCCAAATAGATAGTCATTAATTTGTGATGTATTAATACAAGGTGGAATAGAAGGTGTTACTTCAGACATATCAAATGAAAAAAATTTCTCAGAGAAGTCTAAAGTACATTCACTAGAATTTACTGGCATTCTATTAAACTCTTTTCCTTGAATTTTATTAGAAATATCAATACATTGGTCTTCAATATTTAAATAAACTGGGTTTGTTAATTGGTCAACCTTTTTTGATGAAATGTAATAATCACATTTTTCACAACTATCATCATTATCATCATATCCTATTTTACATGTTATACACACTTCAGTTTCACATTGACCACATCCAACATTGTTACAAAATGTAGAAAAACATAAAGTAATTATGTTCAACAATAGTAATGTCTTCATTACTATTTTTTTAGTTTAAAAAAGCATTGTTTTTTAGTAAGTGATGGATTTTGTTTATTATCTAAAAATATTTATCTTTTCGTAGCAAAAATTTTTCAATTGACTTTTTTAAAGTTTTTTCCTGGTATAATTTTGTTTTTGAGCAAAAAAAATGATTTTCGAAAAGTGAAATTGTTTTGATAAACTAAAAAAAAGAATTAAATAGAAGAATATTAAGAAAAACTATTTTTAATAAAAAATACTAAAAAAAGAAGAAGAGACTCATTTCTTTTTTTTTATTCAATTTTAAAATAACATCCACATTATTACTTATGAATTAACTTTTCTTTTGTTAAAATTTGTTATTTTTTTTAAACAAATAATGATAAAAATAACTAAGAGTAATTAAATTTATCATATTAACTCAACAAATATAAGAAAATTAATGATAGTATTATAAACAATTAACTCTTATAGTTTGTATAATTGTGTATGAGTCAATATTAGTTATAAAATGTTTGAACCACAACTAATGAAAGGATTTAAAAAAAAAGTTAGTTTAAAAGAAGAAAAGTTATTCCAAAAAAAATAAAAATTAATACCCAATGTTCTATTTCAAATGAAAGTAACTCAAATACTTTTTTTCAATAACTTTCATACAATACTATTTCATAACTATGAACCATATAAATTCTGTATTAATTAGATCAATGACAATTCCTCTTATTTTCACTAACTAATTACTTCTTAATTCAATCTTCTCTTGTATATTTTCAATATATATGTAATTAATATGTTTACTTAACTAAAATAGATTTAAATAATGATATGGGTAACCATCACTGGCATTTGTGTCTTATTTATATTTTGATACACTTAATTAAATATTTTTTTTTCAAATTAACCTTTCTTCCTGTTGGACTATGTCTCTATATTTTTTTAATGTTTATATCCAACCCATTTCTTGTCTTTAAATCATTCATATTAAATAATTTTGATTTTCAATCAAACTGTACTTATTCTTTTAAGAACGTCATATATAATATTCAATTATTAGATAAAAAAAATTAAATAATATTAAGTCTCTTTGAAGTATTTTAGTGTTGGATTTACTGTTTTTTTATTCAACCAATATCTAACAGAATTTATATCCATTCTACATTATCATTATTTTAACACTAGACAATATCTTATATCACCATTCTATTTCTAATAATTATGTCTCAGTGAATTATAAATTATTTTAATGTTAAAAAATGACTTTATATATTATTTAATATGCATTTATTCTATTTTAATTTTTCTTCAGTCTTATTCTTGATACTTCTTGTGAACAAGTTCATAATTACATTCAGAAGATATTATTTAAATAGTTCTTGTATTTTGTTATACTATTCTTTGAGTATAAAAATAATTCTTCTTTAAGCTCCTTTTTCTCTCTTTTGACACATTGTTGTCTATCTTTTTATTCTTTATTCTTTTAATATCTTTAATATTATCTTTTTTTTGGTAACATATTGTTGTTTTCCATATGTTATTCTTTTATATTCCTTACCTTCATTATTATATACCTATCACTTTATTTTTCAATTATTACTTCTTTCATTATTTCATCAATTCATTTGTATAAACCCAAAGCAAATAAAATTATTACAAATTTTGTTCAGATTTTATTGAAATGAAGAAAAAAGGAGAGTTGGAGTGTTGACTTGGTTAAAGAATAAAAATAATTCAAAAGAACAAGAAATATTAATACAACAAAGTTATTGGTACTTCCTAATTTTCAAAAATAAGAACAAATCAATGAAAAAAAATTATAACTGATTGGTTATCGATTTTTTGTTATAAAAAGAAATATTTAAAAAGTTAGAAAAATCTTTAAAACAGCATTTATGAAAATAGTTGAATTTCCCCTATTTCCAGAAGTTCATCCAAATAAATATCCACAGCCATCAAGAGACTTAACACTTTATTACAAAGAAAAAAGAAATAAGTGTATAGATAAGTATCATAACAAAGTAAAAAATATTGAATTACTACTAAAACAATGTGAGAAAAATCATTTTGAAATTAAACAATCAATAAAATATGGTACATGTAGATCATGTCATGAACATGGAATATTTGGTAAATTGTGTGAATGTTGTAAAGAAAAAACATGTTTTAAATGTTTAAAAGAAATTTCAATTGAAGTTCAAAAAGAAAAAGAAGAAGAAATTCAAGGTAAAGAAAAAATAAGTTTGTTTATACAATAATTATGAATAAAAGTATTTAATTACAAAATAGAACTTATTTTATGTAAGAATTGTATGGCAGTATTTGATTCAATGAAAGAAAGAAAGTTACTTATTCAAGTTCTTTCACAAAATCATTATAATATACAATTAAGAGATGATGTAGTTAACGCTGCTCAAAAAACCATTACAGTTAAAAAGATGTTAAATAATGCACATGATAAAAATGAAATAATTGAATTATGTCATAATGGTTTAAAAACAATAAAAGAAATGCAAAGACTAATTGATAAAATAAAAAATGAAAATCATCAATTTGATTCAAAATCTGATGCAGTTATTGCATCAAATATTTTAAGAGCACTTTCTTATTTTAATGGAACATTTGGATTTTATTTAATTGGAGAAATTGAAGTTTGTTAGAATATTATATTCTAAACAATATTTAATAATGAACTAAAATAATGAATTGATAGAAAACTGAAAAAAGAATGAACAAACCATTACCATTACCAATTATTAATTCAATAAATTGTAGTGTTGTTCCAATAAATGGTGGAATAATTAAAATTAAAGGTATTGGAATTGCATCAGGAATTGAAGCATTTTGTAAACAAAAGAAAATTAAAAGTGAATTTATTAATGGAGATTTATGTCTTTCAATTCCACCAACTACTTTTCAAGAAATTGGACAAAGTGTTAGATTAGAATTACTTACTTCAGATAAAAGAAAAATTCCACTTCCTGGAGATATTATTTACTGTGATTATTAGCAAAAGAAAAATATGATAAATTGAAATTTAATTAAAAACTTCTTCCATTCTCATAAAGTTTCCATTATCATTATATGGCATCCAAAACATTTGTTTAATTCTTCCTAATGAAGAAACAACAGCACTTTTTCCTAAGAGTGGCATTAATTTATCACTAAGTATAATATCAACATCAGTAATAGTTCTATAACAAAGCATTCTTATATCAATAGAATCTCTATCCAATGTTATTTTGTTATACATTACAGAATCTATACAATTTTGTGTTTCTACTTTTAATTCAAAAATTTCATTAAGTATTTGAGGAGGAACATTAAATAATAATTGTTGAACTTTTTCAACTAATTCCATTGCTTTTCCCATAACTTTTCTAATTTTTGAATTAAATTCATAAATATTATCATTTGTAATAATAAATGGATCAGGAATTTTAATTATCCCATTCATTGGATTAATATATTCTTCAACTGTAATTTGAAAATCAGAAGGAGCTTGAAGAAGTGCAGTTGAAATTATACGTACATTTTGTAACCAACGTTTTCCAATTTCATCTTCTATTATTTCAGTTTGTAAAGCAGAATTTTGAATATCTCTTAAAGAGTTTTGTGATAAAATTGTTTTATATTGTTGATAGTAATTTATTGGTTTTGGGAGATAAAGATATAATAATGATGTTGGGATTTTAAAGAATGTAACAACAATTGGGTCAAGAAAAGTCATAGTTGATGTTAGTAATGAGTGACAATAAAGAGTTAAATCATATCTTCTCTCTGCTAACATTTCTTCACTATGAACTAATAATTTACCAGGAAATTCAGGAAAATCATCTTCATCATATCTTTCACATAATAATTCAAATAATTTTAAAAAATCACTATATCTTCTTTTTCCCGCATTCCAATGAACATAACCACACCATTTTAAATCCACTTCATAGGTATTTGCAATAGGAATTAAATTAATTTCCATATTGATATTAATTGATCTTAACATAATAATTATTTATTTTAAAGATCGTTTCAGATTTTTTTGACAAAAAGATTGAAATCTTAACTAAAAAAAATAAATGAGTATTACATCAAATGAGAATTAGAATATAATTCTCTATATAAATGAGCCTGCGAAATAAAAGTATCCATTTCTTCATTACTCCAATTACTTGTTGGTAAATTTTGAAGAAAAATTATTGCTTCTCCAAAGTCTTTTTGTTGAAGTTCTGATGAATATTTATTTATTAATGCTACACATAAGAAAAGGGGAAGTTCAGCAAAACCTTTTTGATCAGAAATAAGTGTATCAAATAAACGTATTCCTTGTTCTGGAGAAAATTCTCTTAATAAAAAACAATTAAACCACCGAAAAGCATAATTTAAAGTATGAACATCAATAGCTTCAAGATGATTTGATAAAGAAGGATTAATTTTTTTAATAAGTAATTCTAATTGTTTTAAAAGTTCAAATATTCGAGGTTGTTGACAAGTATAAAATGTTTGGACACTTTCTAATACAATTGTTAATGAATCAAAAGCATCAGCTTCTTGTTCAAGAGTTGGTTTAATATATTTATTCTCTTTTTTATCATAATACACTCTAATAATTGGAATAAGAATATCATGAATACCTTGTACATATCCACTTGCTGGATGACGAGCTGCCCATAAAGAAAGAATTCTTTTCATTGATTCTCTAACGTCATTTAAATCTTCAGAAATTCTGAGTAAATCCTTTGATATTTGTTCTACGTTTCGTTCTTCACCAAACTTTGTTTGAATAAATTCATATTTCTCAATTCTTTTACTAATAAAATTTTCCTTTTTACTTTGATCTAAAGGATGACATTGTAATAATATTTTCCATACTTCTCTTCTATATTCTGAAGGACATCCTACCCAACAAATATCTTTTAATTGTTTAATATCAATATATTCTTTTGAAAGTATTTTTTCTAGTTTTATTAACGTTGGTGATTTACTTATTTCTTGTTCTTTTTTCTCTTCTTTTTTTATTATTTCTTTTGATTCTATTTCTTCTTCTTCTTTATTTTCTTCTTCATTTGTATATCCAACAATACTATTATATAAGGCAATAATACTTCTTGCTCCTCGAATAGCATCTTCCGTTAAAATATCCATTAATTTTTTTAGTTTATTCATTTTCAAAAAGTTTTTCTTCTATATAACATTTTATAATCATTTTTGTTTTTTGTTTTTTTATGAAAATATATCCAAATAACATTATTATTTTTTCTTTGATGATGATTCAAATTACAATAAAATAAAAATTAGTTAATAAAGTGTTAAATAGATTTTTCATTTATTCTTCCTAGTTTAGGTGAGACTAATTCCTTCGCTGTTTAAAAAAAGAGTAATATTTTTGTTTAACTTATCATTAAGGTTTTTCTAGGAGTATAAGAAAAATCACTTCTTTGTTTTATTTCTTCCTATTATTAAGGCTTTCTCAAACCTTTTCACTTATTCCTTCTTTTTTTTAATCTTTTGTTTATTCTTTGATTTAATTTTAAACAATTTCTTTTTCCTTATTTTATGAAAGAGAGAAGGAAACATTTCATTACCATTATATTTATTATGTTAATTTTCTTTTAGTCTTAACCACACTTTAATTAACAACAGAATGATTAAAAAAAGAAAAACTGTCAAATAAGTAATTAATATCAAAAGAATAAATACAAAATAATTATAAAAAAAATACAGAACTTAAATTTTTATAATAACCATAAAAATAATAAAACCATTTTTATTCTAAAAAAGCAAAACCAAATTTATTTCAATGGGACAAATTTGGAAGAGTGAGTAGCTCCTACACCTGGTCTACCATGGGTAACTGGTTTA